CCTTTATGGTCTGATTTAGGTGCCACTCATTTCAAACTATTTTTCTTGAACATTCCAACTTGCTGAATTATCAACAAGAAATAATTCTTTGCTTCTAATGCCTCACCCTGCCTTGTGATCTACGAGCTCCCCACAGCCTGGCAGGTGCATGTGCTCCAAAGGCCTCTGCGGCTGCTGGGATTCCTTCACAGCACTGCACTTGGGAGCACGCTCAGTGCCGCAGCAGCCCGGGGGAAGCCCGAAAACCAGGCAGGAGATGACAGAAGCGATCTCTTTACATGGACTGGTTTCCAAAAGGCAGACAGAGATGAGTCTGAGTGAAGCCAGGGCTCCTAAGGAGGTGGGCGTCCACTCAGCAGCCACCAGCCGTCGCCTGCTGCACCTTGACACTCCTGGCTGCCCTGCTTCCCAAAACACTATCACTCCAGGTCACAGTGCACTTTTGTAGGAACTGGAACTTTTTTTTTTTTTTTTTTTTTGAGACAGAGTCTCGCTCTGTCGCCCAGGCTGGAGTGCAATGGACCGATCTGGGATCATTGCAACCTCTGCCTTCAAAGAAAGGAAGAACTCTCAGGTGTCATTAGAGAGGTGGTGTTACTCCTGTCCCTCCCTAGGAGAAAAAAAAATGTTCTTCTTGTCTTTGAATGGGGACAAACAAGCTCCAAGTCATCTACTCCCACCTTCTCACTAGCAGCAGAACTGGAAAATAAAGCAGCTCTCACAGCCCCTGGGACGGGGGCACAGGAACCCTTCACTCCCTGCCCTGCCCTGTGAAGTTCCCCAAGTGTAGAGAGCTGCTGAAGGCATGAGGACCGTCGGCCCTGTGGAGAGAGCCGTGACTCAACACCCAGATGGGTCATTCACGATTTCACCCATGCACTGCTTCCAAAGATCATTTTGTCCCAGGCACAGGACCAGCACCAAAGAGGTTACAAAAATGAGCAAATCAGGTCCCCGCTCTCAAGAGCACTTTTCTGTATCCTAAGAGATAAGACGCAGATGAGCACGGGGCCATGTGGGAGGGAAGGCTCTTCTTGGATGACAAACATGCACCAGAGACCTTACGGAGGAGGACGCGTCTGGACTGGGCCACAGAGCGGGTTAGAATATAGACAAGCAGAGCTGGGCAAGAACAGGTCAAGTAGAGAAAGAGAGTGATAAAGACCAAGGCGGCAGCAACAGCTGGGGCAAAGTGGAGAGGCTGGGAGAGCACGGGCACGGCAGCCCACAGAAGTCCAAAGTGAGCCTGGAGGAGCAGGGAAGACACAGCCACCAAGTCCCACACTGAGGCTGGCCCAGGTTCCCAGAGCACTGGGCCTTTGGCACCTCCAGGGCACAATGGCATCAAGGCATCTGACTGCCAGCCCCACCTGAGGCCCCAGCCAGTAGCCAGATCAAGCACCAGCTGCATGGGGCGAGAGCCTGCAGGGGCTCCTCCCTGGGCTTGGAGCTGCCCCAGCCGACACCACGTGGGCTGCACGTGGGCTGGCTGGGCTGAGTCCTGTTCCTACCGCAGATTCCAGAGCAAAACATGTGAGGATGGTAAGCCTGAGCATGTGGGAGGCTCAGCACTCAGCAACAGCCAGCCAGAGTCCTGGGGGAACGAACTCGCTCCCACCCGGTACTCACCTTCTCTACAGGTAAACTGCCAGAGCTGGGCAATGGTCCAGGTTCCCACCAAGCTGTGACTCAGTTTCTACCAAAGTGCATACACCACGTCCACTCACACAGTGGCTGTGCAAATGCCGGGTCCCCCAAATCAGCGCCCAGTCATCCCCCTACCTACAGCCCCGGGGAAAATTAAGCGCAAAAGAGGAATGCAGCCGGGCGGTTTCTATGCTGTGTGGAGAGGGGGCCGTAGGTGTTGCTATGAGTTGAATCGTGTCCCCCCCAAAAAAACAATATGTGAAGTTCTAGCCCTCTAGTATCTCAGAATGTGACCTTCTTTGGAAACAGCATCTCTACAGATCAATGAAGTTAACATGATGTGACTAGGGTGGGCTTTAATCCCATATGGCTGACGTCCTGATAGAAAGGGGGGATCCGGACACTGGCAGAGGACGGGGTGAAGCAGCACAGGGAAGAGGTGGCCGGAGGATGATGGAAGACTGCAGTGATGCATCTATGTGCCCAGGAATGCCGTGGGTAGCCGGCAAACCCTAGAAGCTGGACAAGGGCAGGGGGGACTCTCCTGCAGATTTCAGGGCAGGCTGGGGCCCTGCTGACACCTTGATTTCAGAATCCTGACCTCCAGGACTGAGCCAATATGTCTCTGCCATTCTGAGTCTCCCGGCCTGTAGTGCTTTGTCACAGCAGCCAGAGCAGATCTGGAAGGGGTGTGGATTCTAGCCATGCAAGGCCACGTGCAGAGAGAACAGTCAAAGGAGCTCGGACCAACTGTCTAGAGCAGAGGGCGGCACGCCACGGCCCTTGGGCAAAACCTGGCTTCATCTCTGTTTTGTGTTGTTTATCCACACAGCTTTATTGGGATATAATTCTAGTACCATGCAATTCAGAAATTTAAAGTACACCCATTCGGCGGTTTCCAGTGCGTTCACAGGGTTACACAACCATCACCGGCCACTTCTCCCACCTGCCTGTGTAAACAGTTTCACTGGAACACGGCCAAGGTAACTGGCTGACGTCCTGGCGGCTGCTTCTGTGCTGCCAGGTGGAGCTGACAGTTGCAGCACAGACCTGCGGCCAGGGAGGCCAAGAATGCACAGCATCTGCTCCTGACTGGAGGCGTGTCTTATCCCTGGCTGTGGACTGCCCACACGCTTTGCCACGTGGTCGGCATTTAAGATTGTGGAGGAAGTGCAGCTGTAGGTGGACCTCGAGCTGACAACTGCCTTAAGGCTGAGTTTCTCCATCTTTTGGATGGGGCTGACACACGTGCCTCAGAGGCTCTCCCAGGAAATGCGGTAAAGGAGACACAGGCTTGAGCCCTTCACGCCCCTGGAGGAGCAGGCAGGGAGCAGCGGGCAAAACGCCTCCTGCCGCTAACCCCTCCCAGCGTCCCCCTCACTCAGCACGAGATCTGGGGTCGCTCTGTGGCCTGCCAAGCCCTAAAGAGTCTGTGCCTGCCATCCCTCTGACCAGCTCCCCGTCCCATCACCTTTAGCTGATTTATTAGGTTCTGGGGGCTTGCTGGTTTATCATCTCTGCCCCCAAACAGAATGTAGGCTCTGTAGGAGAAGGGCGTATCTGTCTCATGTACCATTGTATCTCCAGCTACTAGAACCCTACCCAGCACACAGTAGGTAATAAACATGTGTTTAAAGCACAAGTTAATATTCACCAACATGAGGGTCCTTTATCAAATCCAAAGTCTGCACAGGCATTACCACCTCGGGCAGGGGTCCCCAACCCCTGGGCCACAGACTCGCAGTGATCTGTGGCCTGTTAGGAGCCAGGCTGCAAGCAGGAGGTTAACAGTGGCGGGGGTGGTGGGGAGAGCAAACCAGCGAACCTTCATCTGTATTTACAGCCACTCCCCATCATTCACATTCCTGCCTGAGCCCTGCATCCTGTCAATCAGCAGTGGCATTAGAGTCTCACAGGAGCTCGAATCCTGTTGTGAACTGCACATGTGAGGGATCTGGGTTGCGTGCTCCTTATGAGAATCCAATGCCTGATGATCTGTCACTGTCTCCCATCATCCCCAGATGGGACCATCTTGCTGCCGGGAAACAAGCTCAGGGTTCCCACGGATTCTAGATGATGGTGAGTTGTGTAATTATTTCATTATCTATTACAGTGTAGTAATGACATAAATGAAGTACACAATAAATGCAATGTGCTTGAATCATCCCAAATCCATCCCCCTTCCCAGTGTGTGGAAAATCCCCCCTTTCTATCAGTGTCTTCCTCGAAGTGAGTCCCTGGTGCCATAAAGGCTGGGGACCACTGACCTGGGGAATTTTTCCACCCCTTCCCTGTTATCCATTCCTGTTCCTACCTTGCTTATCTCAGGGTCTCCAGAGAAAGCTCTTTGTTAAGGGCTATGCAAGGATTACCAAAACACAGTCAGCAGGTCATGACCAAGGCCATGAGTCACGTGCAAGTGATCTGAAGTCTGATGTTGAAGACCCATCAGACAATGGTTGTGATGCACGTTGACACTAACTTTGGGCCAGGGTTTCTGTAAGGATAAGCCTAGATCAGCAAAAACCTGGCAGGAACCACGTGTACTAGCTCTTTCTATCCAAGAGATCTTCATCCTATATATAGGCAAATCTGGACACATTAAAGATACACACACACACACACACACACACACACACACACACACACACACACAAGGTGTCTCTCAGCAAAAAACCAGCAGAAAACACATCTACTAGCTCTTTCTATCCGGATCTTCAGTTCTTCAGTCTACATACAGGCAAATCTGGAAACACTAAAGATACACACACACACACACACACACACACACACACATACACACACATACACACACACACACACACACACACACACACAGTCTCTCTCTCTCTCTCTTTCTCTCTCAGCAAAAACCCAGCAAGAACCACATCTACTGGCCGGGCGCGGTGGCTCATGCCTGTAATCCCAGCACTTTGGGAGGCCGAGGCGGGTGGATCACAAGGTCAAGAGATGGAGACCATCCTGGTCAACATGGTGAAACCCCGTCTCTACTAAAAATACAAAACATTGGCTGGGCATGATGGTGCATGCCTGTAATCCCAGCTACTCAGGAGGCCGAGGTAGGAGAATTGCCTGAACCCAAGAGGCAGAGGTTGCGGTGAGCCGAGATCGCGCCATTGCACTCCAGCCTGGGTAACAAGAGTGAAACTCTGTCTCAAAAAAAAAAAAAAAAAAAAAAAGAACCACATCTACTAGCTCTTTCTATCCCAGGGATCTTCATCCTATAGGCAAGTCTGGAAACACTCAAGACACACACACATACTCTCTCTCTCTCTCTCTCTTTTTCTCTCTCTCTCTGTGAGATCAAACTTCCAGTTGAATCACCTTCCTACCTGTGTCCGATGCCAGATCACAGACGCCCGGGAGTGGCCCAGCTTGTTCCGGCAAGGTCCCTTATCGTAGTGTATCAGGAGGAAATCATCCTGTGAGGGCAGAGACAGGCAGAGTGAACGAGGGGTTCCTGCTGAGTTCTGTGAGTATCCCGGCCTTTCATGCGTTTCTTCTCCTGGGCTCACAACAAGTGGAGACGGGGGCCACACAGGGGAAGGGACGCACCCGGGAACACCTGGCCACAACCACTGTAGGCCAGGCTGCTCCTCCCAGGGCCTCCATTCATCACAGAGCCACCTAGAACAGCACAGCCTCGGGCACTAGAGGGAGCCTTGGACCAGCCATCAGGCCCAGCTCTAAGAAGGGCTTCCCTGTGCAGGGGCCACTTCTGAGCTTCTGGGAAAGAAGGGACCTTGTGGAGACACAGGACTACTAAACACACAGGTCACGACTGCTCCAAAGAGCTCCTGCTGGCCCTGGCTGTGTGTGATTCCTCTGCACTGGCATCTTCCCGCTGCAGGGACAGGGCTATTTCCAGGACTGGATGATATGCGTTGTTGCTGGCCCATCCCCCTCCCTCAGGTCAGGCTTCTCACCTAAAAAGTGCTTCCTCTCCACGCAGGCCACTTGATTTTTCTCATGATTCAAGATCCAGGGAGCACCTTCTACATCTTCTGCATCTTCCCAGACCCTCCCGAGTGGGCAGCAGCTCTCTGCACTCCGGCCCTCCTGCTACGCCTCCCTCCCGGCGTTCTGCATCCCACCTCGACTCCTGGAGCTGGGACCCTCACACATATTGGTCTAACTGTGTTCCCCAGCTCAGATTTGGGTACATGGTACCCAAATCTCAAGGACTACCCGCTGGCATGAGGGAAATGCCATTTCTATACCAAACTGTCTGCTCCTCCAGGACCAGGAGGCACCATTTTCAATCCTGACCAATGCAGGAAATGGTGAGGCACCTGGTGCCAAGGAGGGGCAAAGCTGCTGATTCATTTATCCAGGGCTGTAAACAGACAGCGCTTTTTCAGAAAAGAGCAAATACACACAGGGTCCAATGTGCATGAAGAAACAGGAAGTCATTCTTCCGAAAACCAGGAGGAGCAGGAGAGGGGCAGGGGCCTTGTGCTGCTTTCAATCACTCTGATAGGATAGTTCTGGGGCTGCAGCCAGCCGTCCTCTCCTTGTGGGGAGGACATCAACCTTGAATTTGCTGAGTTTCGGGGTCCAGCCTCCTGGTGTCTAAATGCACAGTGAGTGGACAGCATCAGATCCTGGCTGCTACAGCTGCCGTCAGAGGCCTCGGCTGGGAACTGGAGTCCCAGCTACCACCTTGCGTCCGGCTTCGGTGCCTAGACGCCTCATCTGCGAGAGGAAGGGGAGGAGCAGGCGAACACAAAGCCACTTCTGGCCACACCTTTCTCGACTACGAAGCTATTTCTGTCCACTTCCACCACTGTGAGCTCTCTCCTCCTTGCGAACTCTCAACTGAAATTTCCTTTGCACTGATACTAATTTACACACTGAGATGAGCCCATTCTCCATTTTCCCGACTGCCTCTCACAAGGTCTTGCATTGCAGGCTCTTTAAAAGCTTTCGAATTTGTTTTCTGAAACGCAAACCAAATCCTGTGGACTACCCAGTTGAGAAGAGGTTACTGATCTCTGCCAGCAGACACAGACAAGCCTAGCTGCACATCCGTGGGACGTGGACAGCTTTTGGAAGCTGAAGATACTGACTCAGAGGTCTGAGGCGGGGCCCAGTCCTCACACTCCCTAAGTGGTTCTGATCAATCCTGTCCTTGGAAGGCACAGGCCTCTGTGCTGGGGACCAGGCCCCTGATCTTGATACACAGGGCCGGTTGTCTGGGCCTCACCTTATCTTTCCGGCATCTCTGGCCAGGCCACGAGTGAGGTCACATCCTGCTTCATCATGCGCAGGTCTTTGGTAGTAACCTGGCTCGGCACACTCTGTCCTTTCTGGTGAACAAACTCACTCAGCCTCCAAATCCTCAGCTACCCTCAGGCACACAGACCCAGTAACCTGCTGACTCCTCCTCTGGGCCGCCAGGGACTTTACAGCATTAGCCATGCAGCCTCCTTAGAGCAATGTGTCCGATCACGGGGGGCTCGCCAGGGAGAGAAGGAGGTCCTCAAGGTCAAGAACTTCACCCCGACTCTCATCTCACCAGACCCGCACGTCATCCAGCAGAGCAGAGCTGCTGGTGCTCCCCCAGATCTCACCAACAAAATGAATGCTGACTTAAAACGTGCTTTTCTTATCCCTTGATAAAATCACTCAAATATGGTTTTACATTATAGAAACGACTGACTTGTGATGTTTAGTGGACCGAGGAAGCCCTGGGGCATAACAATCCGGGAGCTGCAGGAATGTAGATCTGTTTCCTGATGGGGATACTTTCCTCCTATTGTTCAAAGAAGTTCTGGGTGGGAATGAAACCACCAGGCAGGCTCCAGGAAGCTGCAATCAGGGAGAAGGTGGGTGAAAGAGCAAATCCCGCAGGGCAGTTCAAGCCCCTTCAGCTTTAAAATGTCCACGTACACTCTGGCTTGACACAGTGTGGTCTAACACGAACAGGTGGTTTTAGAGTTTGAAAGATCAGGGACCGACAGCTGTCCCTTCCTCACTAATTTGAGAAAGATAAACCTCTCTGGCCTTCCTCATTCCAACTCAGAAATACTATGTGTATTAAAGTGAAATGGGTATGCAGAGCAAACTGTATAACACTGATCTGGAACAATTACCTCAATAAATATTCACTATCTACTGCAAAAAAAAAAAATACATAAAAGGAAGAAACTACATGTCCCTGTTTACAGAAAATAGCGAAGGCTGGGCCAGCATTGACAGCTGAGGAGCAGTGAGGATTCAAGGGTAGATGAGCTCGGCCAGGTGCAGAGGAGACAGAGTAAGAGCCATGATGTGAAGGAGGCGGTTTGAAATAGTCACAACACCTGGATGTCTGCATGTGCCAGAAAGCTCTGGGCGAAAACAGGAGAGAAAAGCCAGGGGAAAGGCCTCCCCTCTCCTCTGAGTGCTCTTGGCTGGCTTCAGACAGTGCATTTACGTGCTTGTCCTAAATCACTGTTAATGTCTTTGGTAAAGGGCCTCCACAGTAGACTCCCTTCCCTTCACCTCCGCTCCCTCTGACCACAGGGTCATTTCTCCGCAGCTCTTCATCTGCACAGAAGAACAGGCAACTCTGCAGGCCCTGAGGAGGATGACTCTGATGGAGGAAAGTGCAGCCTGGTTCCCCTCCTCTAGGAAGAGGCGGAGCCTGCGTTAGGGTGGAGGTGGACAGAGAGGGCCTGCCTCAGGGGCTAGGGCAGAGAGGACACACTTTCTGCTGGAAGCAGTAGGCACAGCGGCTTCCCTCCTAGTCCCTGTGACTTAGTCCAAGGCGCCTGGGGAAACCGAACTTCTGTGAGTCCATGTCTAATGCTGTCCCTAAATGACCCGCAAGAGGCTCTGTGTCAAGGCGGAGGAAAGCTGCCGTTTCACTTCCTCCCTTCTTCACAGAAAGTTACAAAGAGTAGGAAGTGGCAGGCCAGCTATTAGATATTGGATCATAACTCAATGATCAGTCTTCAGAAGAAAAAAACTGGAATGCAGTAAAAGGCAAATAAATAAATAAGAATTTGAAGGCCCTAAAAAACTTGGAAAGGCTTCAGATGTCACTCCACAAATCCCCTCCCTACCACATCAGGGCTGGGAGCAGCTTAGCGGGACTTGGGCGAAAGAACACTCATCTTGCCATGCTGATTCATTAAGTTTGCCTAGGAAGGGAAAATGAAGCCTCAACATAGAACATGGTGAGATTTTACCCAGATTTGCTCAGCTACATCAGGTTCTACTATTAATTTAGTAATTTAAAGTTCGCAAAGAGACAAAAGACCTTTCAAAGAAAGGACTCCAAAACAAGCAGTCGAATGTTTTAAGGTAGCCTTTATATTACAGACCTGTTGCCCCATGTGATATTCCATCTCAAAGACACACTCATTTTCTTCTGGACAAATCTCCCAGCCTGTGCTTCATTCCCTCTGCCCATTGGTCTGACCCACTTCTCCTTCACGTTTGAGGCCTGAGGGGACCCATCTCAGCCATTATGTGCCAACTTGAACTGCTCTGAAATAGCCCATGGTATGAACACACTTGCCCAGAAACACTGATAAGAAAGAATTGTCTCTGGGCAGATGAATTGCTAATATCTGAAGCATGGACCGGCTCTGACTGCCCCACAGCTTTATCTGAATGAGATCTGAATGGCTTAATAATATTATTGGATGGACTAGATGCATTCATCCTTGCTGTGCAGAACAGACACAAATATATCACTTCATGACACATGACTTGATTTGCTTGGACTGTCCCTAGCTACAATGGTTTCAATAGATAAATAGGTCTGCTATTCAATTATAGATTTATTTATTTATTTATGAGATGGAGTCTTGCTCTGTTGCCCAGGCTGGAGTGTGATGGTGCCATCTTAGCTCACTGCAACCTGCGCCTCCCAGGTTCAAGTGATTCTTGGGCCTCAGTCTCCCATGTAGCTAGGACTATAGGGGCAAGCCACTGTGATTGGCTAATTTTTTGTATTTTTAGTAGAGACAGGGTTTCACCATGTTGCTCAGGCTGCTCTGAACTCCTGACCTCAGGTGATCTGCCCACCTCGGCCTCCCAAAGTGTTGGGAATACAGGCGTGAGCCACCATGCACAGCCTAATTATAGTTCTTAAAAAAGTATGCACCAATAAACTCTTCTAAAACTAAAATCATAGTTTCATCATTTTGGCAAGATGCCTATGCCCTTATACGGGCAAGGAAGGAGAATGAGAAGCCAAAAAGCAGCACCGGGTGCATCAGGCCTCAACGCTCCAGAAAAGCTTGGGCCTCTGGGAGGGGAGGCTGTGCCCTCCTCTCAGGAACATGGCCCTGGCAGCCACAAACAGTACGGTGTGTTTGAGAAACCTTCAAGCAGAGCACAGTTAGGAGAAGGTTGCCGTACGAGGCTAGAACTTCCATTCTGCTGAGACGTTGACTGCCACCTTTGGAGGTCTGCCCTGCCAACCCTGACTCGGCGACAGATGAATGAATGCAATTCACACACACCAGAATACAGTGAATTGAGTGGGCTAGGGGTGGACGTCAGCTGCTCTCAGAGGGCGACTGCAGCTAACCAACAACTTCTCCCTGTTCTTTCTCACATTTATTCGGTAGAGATTTCCTAACAGAGGTTCTAAGTCAACACACTTGTGGTTAATTAACATCGTTAAAGCAGTGGCTTAATGAAGGATAAAAGATTTTGGTTCCTGGGCCCAGAACAAACACCATGAACAGGTAATACCCCTTCAACCTCCTCATCCCTGGCACAAAGTTTACATGAGTAAATAGAGTAGAGACAAAGGAATATGGGGAACACAGATTTAACTGGGGAAGCTTCTATTATCCTTAATCTACACCCTATGACTTAATGCTCTAACGTAAGAACTGGCTGCCTTCAGCCAGTCTCATTAAAACCTTTCACCCTTCTAAAAGGTTTGAGACTATAATCTTATAACTTCCCTAGTATTTCCCTTAATATTTTGCCAATCACCCCAAGTGACTCCCAACATTCTGCCAGAGAACAAAGGGCTTGCACGTTTTCCTGCCCTACAGATGACATGAGTGTCAATGAAGTCTCAAAAGTGGCCCCAAGCCCAACAGCTCCCCAGTCCCTGCTTCTGTCTGTCCTTGTTACCCTGAACACCAGGAAGGAGCCCCAACCAGGAATCCAGGAACCAAATCTGGTGTACTCTGATTTTGTATTTCCAGCAGCCAGGACCATGAGAAATAAATGTCTGTCATTTCACTTGCCTCGTCTATATTATGTCACAGCAGCCCAAACTGGCAATGACAGCCCCGCTTAGACAAAACCTAAGATGGTAAAACCCCTTTAAAACCGAGGCTGGATCCAGAACCTGTATAAAGGGTTTAGGCCCCAGAACTACACGAGTCACAAAGGCTTCTGACGCCGTGGTGCTCATGAGTTGATGTTTTCATAATCACAGGAAAAACATGCAATAGTGTTCCTTCACTGTTACACAGGAGTAAGCACCAAGCTCTCTAGGGAACAGCTGGTCTGTTTTTCTTATTCCAAATCTAAAGCTCAAAGCTCAACGCAGCAGGGTGGAGCTGAGGCAGTACTCACGTCCAGGGACTCCAGGCAGTACCAGCAGAAGGCATGCTTGCAGTTCTTGCACATCATCTGCGCACAGCCTTCGTCTCGCTCGATGTAGACTTTGCACTTGGGGCACCGCTTGATGGGCGCGTCATCCTCTTCCATTTTGAAAGCCGCACTGTGGGAGAAAACTCCGTGAGAACTCGGCACACACAGATCCCAGGAGGGACCCAGTGGCACTGGCCATGCTGGGAGCATTAGGGCCTCAGTTCCACTTCAGGGACTGAGTTCTCTTGGTATTAAATTAAAACAACAACAACAACAACAACAAAAAAAACAAAACCCAGAAAACAAAGAAATGGAAACTCCAGGAAAAAAAAAAAAATTAACCAAAACACTGTGAATCCACCATTTTGAGCTAGGTAAAATTAAAAAAAAAAAAAAAAAAAAAAAAAAGCAACATCAACACACATCTAAATTTAGAGATATAGATAAACAAAAGAAAATACAGCAAAAGGCTTCTTATAACGGAGGTATCTGAATAATAGTGTAAGGCCAGATGTTGTGTCCTTATTCACAGAGCTGTCTACTTTCCAAAGGCTTGATATAAATTTTATGTGCTTTGCTGTTATTAAAAAAAAATAAACAAACGCTGCAAATACACACACACAAACACACACTGTTCACTTGGTTAGATCCACCTGGCTCTTCTTACAAAACTGTTACCCTGAGAGGCTGGCTAGGTCTGCAGGGTTAGCACGAAGGGCTTTAAGCGGATGTCAGGGCTGGCTCTGCTACAAACCAGCCGTGGGGAGCTCTCCAAGCCCAGCTTTCTCATCAGCATGCCCGTGAGAGGAGAGACCGTGTGACGGGAGCACAGTGCAGGGGGCAGCTTGTCGGAAGTGCTTGATAAAGGGTAGCAGGAGTTCAACATGGCTAAAGGAAGATAACACAGACATCAGGTACGACTCATCTCACGTTATTAATGTTTAAAAGACAGGTAAGAATATTCCTAAAAGCATCTGAAGGAATAAATGATAAACTGTCAGGAGAAGTTATCACTGATTATTGGGGTGTCCTTGCTATACAGTTTGGACTCGCTAAATCAAACCAGCATCAGCAGGAGAAAATGACTCCTTTGGAGTGAGCAGCTTTTTCAGAATCTAACACATTTATGGGTATATATTCGCTGAAGTATTTTGAGTGCATTCTGGCTGAAGGATCTCTCACAAACTTCCTGGTCGACATGAGCATCGAATGTAGTTTCACTTTAGTGTGAGCTGTCAGATGACTGGTAGTGAACAGTCCTCCACTGGGGGTGTACACTCCAATCAATCGTGATGGTTTGGTCCATTTGTAGAAGGCAACAGAGTGAGAAGCAATGAGAGAAGCAGAATGTCCTCACATTGAGGAGCACAGTCTTCAGACAGACGGATCCTAGCTGTGCTATTTATGTATTATGTGTCTTAGTTCCCTTATCTGCAAAACAGACTAATAAGGCTAATGGCATCGGTCTCTGCAGGGTGTTGTGAGGATTACAGAGGTTGCACATGCTTTGCTCGGAAGCCGGTACATAAGTACCAGGCACTCAAGAAACAGTAGTTATTATTTATAACGATTACTGAACAATAACACAGTCATCACTAGCTCAAACGTTTCTCCAGTTTAAAAGCAAACTGCAGACAAGATCGGGTGCGTTCAGGGTGGTATGGCCATAGACTGGATAAAGAAAACGTGGCACATATACACCATGGAATACTATGCAGCCATAAAAAAGGATGAGCTCATGTCCTCTGCAGGGACATGGATAAAACTGGAAACCCTCATTCTCAGCAAACTGACACAAGAACAGAAAACCAAACACCACATGTTCTAACTCATAAGTGGGTGTTGAACAATGAGAACACATGGACATAGGAAGGGGAACATTACACATCAGGGCCTGGGAAGTGGGGGGTTAGGGGAGGAACCCAGGGGGTGGGGGGATTGGGGAGGGACAGCATTAGGAGAAATACCTAATGTAGATGATAGATACAGCAAACCACCACCACGACACATGTTTACTTAGGTAACAAACCTGCACAATCTGCACATGTACCTCAGAACTTAAAGTATAATAAACAAATTTTTAAAAATAAAAATAAATAAAAGTAAACAGCAAACCAACCTGGTCACACAGAATGTGATAAAGACTGAAGGAAGGTTGCTGCAAGGAGCAAAGGAGATAGCACATATGCAAACATCTCCAGAGGGACGAAGCCCAGAGTCGGCCCCCAGCAAACCTCAGCCTTGGCCTCCTTCTGAGAATGACTTTCATTTTGCAAAAAGCCGGAAGTCATGAGACACCGAATCTGGCGATCAAGGTTGGTTTTCAGGTTAGATAACATTGTTTTGAAAACCAGGCGTGACCTTAAAGCTATGAAACCAGTTTTCTCATGTGACTCACAAGCTAATTTTGAAAGAAATGGCAGGAACAGTGTGAACAGTGTCTCCTGGGGAGAATTTTCAAAGTGAAAACAGTTAAGATATGCAAGTTCTGGTGTACTGCGCCATGCATAAAAAATGTGCATGGTCTAGACAAACAGTTTTCAAATATTCCTTAGTATTTGAATTGCATTGAAAATTATTACTAATAACATTTACTGTAAGCTGAAATTATAAAAGCAGACAAGAGTTTTGACAGTATTATCATGATCTATGTGTAGCCCAGCACCTTGAAAATGTAGGCAGTGATGCTAATGGGTGAAGTGGTCAGGAGCTGGATAAAAGCATGGGTGAGGGGAAGATTAACCTTAAAAAAAAAAGCCAATACAAAAAATAGCTGAGTGTCTTCACAGTTATAAATGGCAGCTGAGAGGCAGCCTCAGTTCCAGGGGGCAAGACGGGGTGGTCAGAACTGCGGGCTTGAGCCCAGGAGGCCCCTCCAGCGAGGGCGGCTCTCTGCTGCTCTGCGCTGGCCGCCAGCACCTCGAGGTAGGCTCGGAGATGCTGGGAATTCAGATTTCCTGGAGAAGCCAGAAATTCCGGGTTTTATGTGACATCTTCTGATTTTTAAATTTCCACAAAATGAAATTTCTGAATTTTGATTTAGACTGTCCTTGGAGAATGATTTAAATGGGACAAGAATGTCACAGACAAAGAAAACTAAGTCATCAGGCTCCAAACACTCACCAGCCCCCATCTAAAGTTTCCAAGCCTCTAAGATGTCAAGTACAAGTGAAGTGTAAGTACAAGCAGTTCATGCTTGCAGCTGCCTGCCCGCTGTGGGCGGGAGGCTCAGACACGCACAGGCCCTGCCCTCGGAGCTCAGCCTGATGGCAGAGTCCGCCCAGTCAGTGGAAGAACTCAAATCCAGTACCTCTGGGGTTGTAATCAATGCAGACGATCTCAGCAGGAACTCAGAGGGTGGAGCCCCCAGCCCTGTCCTGGGAACTGGGAAGCTTGACAATGGGATGTGATCCCCACCTAAAGTGTGGCAGGAGCCCCCAGGGAAAGGAGGAGGGCGGAGCAGGGCGCTCCAAGCACAGGAACAGAGGTTCGCCCGGAAAGAAACCAGGGGTCGGGTGTATGGCAGGGCCCCTGAGAGTCTGGGGCTGGGACAGGCAAGGAGTCCAATGGAAAGGAACGAGAGCTGGGGATAGTGGAATGGGAAGAGGGAAGCGCAGGGAGCAGCTGGTGGGCACACCCTTGGGAGGGCGGTGGGCAGAGTGGCAGCTCCTCTAAGAGGATTGTGGCTTCAACAGGACCAGGGGCAAGTGTCCAGTGGAGCCATGTGACCTTGCAGATTTTGTAGAACAAAAAGGCCTGGGTAGGATCAACTTCCTATGCATCAACCTATGAAATGTCAAGGTACAGAGTGAGGTGCCACAGCATCCTCCAGGGCAAACAGCTCGACTATGGCTGCAGGGGAGGTGGCCTAGGGAGTAAGTAAGTGTCTTCCCACCCCCTTCCAGACAGTATTTGTGATCAGTGCCCCTACTCCTGTTCCTGTTCCCGCACCCCCATTTCAGACAACCTTCAACACAGTGAAGTCTTGGAGAAACTTCAGGCATTGCAGGAATTACAACCCTTAAAAGGAATAAACCACGCATGCATTTGCCATGCCAGCCAAGCCATGTTAAGTATGGTTCTCATGCACCTTTCTATCGCCAGGGCCTCACACAGTGCCTGGTGCATAGTCAGTTCTCAAAAAGAAACGAACAGACATACAAACAATGACAGGCTTGAGTGAGACTCAAGAGGCAGAGTGTGTGTTAGAGTTGCCTGAGCCGCAGCCGCCTACACTGCAGTGGCACTTTTAAGAAGACAGCACACCTGCTTCTCCTGGCCCACAGCCCACGCCTTTGGTGGCAGCTTGTGTACAAAGGGTACCTGGTCTCCCCGGGAAGGAAGGTGATCGGCATGGTCTCCGGGCAGCCCTGGCCAGGGTGCCAGCTGGCTTTGCAGGTGGAGCAGAATTCCATGTGGCAGGCTTTGCACTGCACTGGCTGGGGGGTCTGCAGCCCCACATCCTGGAGCTGACACACAGCCTGGCAGGTGGACGCCGGGCACCACGTCCGACAGGGATCAAACAGCACCTCTGGTACAGGGAGACAAAATGGGCAAATCAAACTTAGGCCAGAGGGTCATGTGGGCTTCAGAGGAAGGAGCCCCGCCAGTGCACGGACAGGGAGGGACACGTCCAGGTAACACAGCAAGCACCAGCAGCCCCAACCGATGAGCTGCCTGGGTCGCCCTTCCGCTTCTGCTGTAGCTCTTCCCAAAGTCTCCCTTCATGCATGGGGGTGGCTAGAAACCTCCAGACACCCCAGGCATCCTTCAGGAATGCTGTTCCTGCCTCTGGAATGCCCTTGGGGCCCTGGGCCAGCCCTGCTTGCCTCTGAGAGTCAGCTCACAGCTCCAAGGCCTCCACGTTCTGGAAAACTTGGCCCACTTGCCTGTCGGGTTTCTCTGAGCAAAGCACATCACGCTAGATCATGTGCCTCCCCGAGGGGACAGCTTTCGGAAGCCAGGCCCTCGATGGCTCCGTGTTGGGCACAGAGCCGGCACCAGGAAAATGCTGTTAGAAGACGGAAAGGAAGAGGGAAGGAAGATAGCTGGACTATTCTTCTAATCAAACGGCTTACCTGCCTCAGATGGTCTTTCCTTCTCAAATCCAAGCCGTAAGTTAAGTACTGAGTGAAACTAACCCTTCCAGGGCCGGATTTTCTCTCTGAATCACAGGGCACCTTTCTAAGAAGCCCAATGTAATGGAATCAACCAAGAAGTTTATTTGTAAAAACAGGACGCCTTCACACACCTTTTTCTTCACATCCCTGTCCAAAAACTGCATTTCTTTACATTATTGGCTGCCTTTTGCAGTGAGCCTGGTTATTCATTTCATTTTCCCTCTTGTCCAGTGAGACGCTGATTTCTCAGAGAGGGGACCCCACGGGGAACAGCAAGGCTCGGCCAGGAAGCTCTCCGAGGCCACGCAACGTGGGCTACTTCCAAAGGCATTCTGGCGGGCCACTGGTTTCTAAGTTCTCAGCAGGGGTCTTCCTGGGAAGAAGTCAGGACAACTGAGTTTCAGAGACAACTTGAAAGGTGATGACGAGTCCTCGCAAATGTGACTGGCAGCCGGGCGGCTCTTGCTCCCCTGCCTCACACATGTGATTCCTACTCGCTGGAATCCACTACAGCCTGGTGCCCTGCGTGGACCCAGACTTCTCCTATACATATAGCCACGGAACCAAAGGCAACGTAGTGACAAATCACCTGCTGGGTGTCCTGACTGTGCACACGCATACGTATGTGTAAGGCCCTGTGTGTTTACCACGTTCCCCAAATACATGGGGAAGCCAGGTTCAGCTCGCTACACACCATCTTGTGAGGGTCTAACTTGGAAATGATCTAGTCATCCAGTCCAGGGGCTGGCAGGCTATCTCTGTAGAGGGTCAGCCAGGAGTCATGTGAGTCTTTGAGGACCACGTTGTGCCTGGGTTTCTGTCGCAATGACTGGGATTGGCTGTTGCAGTGCAAAAGCAGACACGGTGACCTGGAAATGAATGTTCTAGGAAAACAGAGCAGCAGGTCATGGGCTGGTCTGGATTTGGTCCACTGGCCATGGCTGGCTGACCCTTGATCTCACCTGACTGCCCCTGCCTCTTTTTAAAGCGTGAATTAATCAACAGCACAAAACTGTCACATTGCTAGGGGTGGTGGAAGGTGAAGAACTTGATAATAACAAGGAACGCTGGAGCTCAGGAACCGGTACTCTCATCATCTTCATTATGATCATCTAAAATCCCCAGGACACTCCCAATACTCAGTGAATGGACAAAATTAGCTCTTATTTGTTGATAGTTTATGCGTTTGCTGTTCTAAGACTGCTCTTGGCTGTCAGGTCTGACAAGGTGGCTTTCTGAGAAAATGCAGTTGTTGTCTGTGGGTCACATGTCGGGGCAGATGCCTGGGCTTTCCCTATGCTGAGGACCCACAGCGAAGCAAGGAGAGGGTACGTGTGCCAGCCTGGGGCACTGAGCGCAGTATGGAGCAGTGAGGAGGAAACACCAAAGGCAGCTGGCTCCAGTCACGCCCCCATCCCGTCCCGCGATGCCGCCAACAGCTCTGCCTGCCGTGCTGTGGGGTGAGCCCAGCTTTGTCCCTGATGAGGCAGGAGGCCCTGTGTCTGCCCACCCCGCAGAGTGCAAGTGCTCCGGGCACTAAACACCACACCACACGGGAAGAGACATCCTCACAGCTCTTTGCTCTCCTTCCGCTATAGATCTGGGGCCAGACCCAGAAGGGCAGCACTGCCTGCCAGGAACCCCTCCATTCCCACTGCTTTCCCCACCCCTCCTGCGCTGTAAAGAGCTTCTGACATCAGGACGGAGCAGACGTCCCAAAGCCCGGTCTCGGTCTCTTCATGCACGTGATTGTCACGTACCACCCCCTGCCCACCCTCGTGGCTCAACAGTGGGAGATGCTATGACGCACTCTCATCACAAAAGGTCCCCAGGACAGCACGCGGGGAGACCTGGTGAAGGTTTCCATGGGAACGATTTAAATTTTATTAGTTCTGTCCTCATAGAGCTGTGACATGGCACTGCCTGTCCTCACGTGGAGAGATTCGCTGTGGGAAAGCTCAAGGACAAACAGCTGCTCAGTCTGCTGACTGCCAAAGTCCTTCCTGTGCTGCTGGGGACATCACACCCTGTGAACATGGCCCCAGCCGCAGGCAAAGATGTCTATTCACATTCTGCATTATCCTCTCCATGGCTGAGTATCTACATACGTGTGTGTATGAGACATATTTTTATACAAAGCAAATAATATACTTTTTGGCACACTCGAAGAAACTAATCTTAACTCTTATCTCCGAGAATTATATTCATGACAGATTAATGAAGCAGGTCTCTAAGAACTCCCTGCTTAAAAATGCTTAAAATTGGCTGGGTACGGTGGCTCATGCCTATAATCCCAGCACTTTGGGAGGCCGAGGTGGGTGGATCACAAGGTCAGGAGTTTGAGACCAGCCTGGCCCATATGGTAAAACCTCGTCTCTACTAAAAATACAAAAATTAGCTGGCTGTGGTGGGGAGGCTGAGGCAGAAGAATCGCCTGAACCCGGGAGGCTGAGGCAGAAGAATCGCCTGAACCCAGGAGACAGAGATTGCAGTGAGCTGAGATCACACCACTGCACTCCAGTCTGGATGACAAAGCGAGACTCCATCTCAAAAAAAAAGCCAAAACAAACAAAAAAACAAGCCTAAAACTTTTTTAAAAGGTGGCTTTCCTTGACCAGGCTGATGCCCCTGTGGTGAGGCTGATGCCTGGTGGGGTGGTGGGCTTGATCCTGCTGCGAGGCAGCAGCATTTTTAGGAGTTGGCTCTAGCCAGGCCTGATCACTGATGGATAACCCGGAATATTAGTTAATCTCTCTGAGTTTTACTTTCTTTTTAAAAAGTAAAACAAAACAATACACAATGAGATCTGGTATCAGCATTCACGTAGCCAGGCACTGTGCTGGCACAGGGATGAAGGCATGAGGACCCACAGTCCCATCCCTGGCATGGCTGAGCTTCCGGGCAGAGGACTGTGCACAGGAATAACCTTAGCACAGCACCGCTGGGTCTCAGAGGGGCACGGGCGTCAAGAGGAACATGCAGAGAGGGGTCCACGCAGCGAGAGCCATCCACATGCCTCGCTCAAGAATCCGCCCCCACCCAGACTCTAGTGTGAGCCAGTTGCGAGGAGGTGCTCAGAATGAAAACTCAGCTTCCTAGCCCCCTTCCCTGGCTTCCTGCTGGCCAAAGGCCCCAGAGCTGGAGAAGAGGAGACATTGACACTAAAATCAAGGCTGTTACATCAGAGGAGACATTCTAAGACTAAACGGAGACAGTGTGTGCAACATAAACTAACCACAGAACTTTCTGGTAACTAAATGTTTTCAGAAAATCATTGAACTATCTCAGTTTTCTTCCAGGGTGTCCTCTACTTGACTAGATCTGAGAGGCATAGAGACGGTCAACATTTGCTTTCTGATCTTGTCTCCAAACTCTTTGAAGGTGCTGGCTATGATCTGTAGCTATATTCTAGCTCTGACATGCTAGCATTTTATCGAGACAGGCCTTTTATTGTATTAAGTCCGAATACTTAAACAAAACAAAACAAAACAAAACAAAACAAAACAAAACAAAACCTCTAAGATAATGTTAGTAAAATATTTTAAAGTGAGAGGTTTCAGAGTTGATTTTTTTTTTTAACAGAAGCCAAGTTGGCTTCATGTTTATGCAAAAGGAAAAAAGATTTTTTGACTAAGCCAAAGTACTAAAGAAATAACAGTTAAAATTATTAGGTTGGAAAATTTATCCAGCTGCATTTTTAAATTAAATTCAATGTCATAGAAAGTTCATAGTCTTGCAAACAACAGTGTGTTTCTGTCAAGATTCTCTCTGGAAAATATTCTCAGAAGAGCCTCAAAGTCTCAGAAATCCAAATTAATCAACTTTATTGCTCGACATACTGACTTTTGTACCCAATGGCATTATATTAAAGCTTTAAACTGCCCGAAAGCAAATGATATATGACACTTAAATAAACACACTCTTGAAAACAAATTTCGATGCCCTCGAAAATCCTGTTTAGGTTGTTACAAATTAGCTACCTGTTTGTTGTTGTTGTTGTTGCTGCTGTTGTTGTTTTTTGGTGGTTTTGTTGTCATTGCTGTTTGTTTGCTTTGAGAGAGGGTCTCAATATGTTGCCTAGGCTGGACTTGAATTCTTCCGCTCAAGTGATTCTCCTGCCTCAGACTCCTGAGTAGCTGAGACTACAGGTGTGTGCCAATCAGCTGTCTTCAGCAAAAAGCAAAAATAAACAAACAACAGGTCTCTGCATGCAGCTCAACTGGGCGTCTCTGTCCTCTGGTCTACTCTGCCCTGTTTCCATGTAAGCCCATCCTCCAGGGCTGTGTCTCAGTGGTGAAACCCTGCACTGGTCAAGAACGGGAGAGGGAGGGCAGATGCCTGCGATCAAAACTCAGAATCTCCCTGCAGGGTCCTCACAATGATGTTCTGCGTAAGGAGTGTCACCTGCACACATCTGTCACTCTGCTCTTTAGCAGGCGAGCCCGACACCCAGAATAGATATAAAAACAAGGCCAAACAGAGTCCACAGACTCTTTACAATTTCATTGTATGACCCCGAAGTACTTCAGAGAGCAGAGCTAAGGACCTCTCCTGGACATTCCACAGGGCTTAAGGCTTTGCAATATGATCCTGAGAATCACGTTCTGCTCCGTGTACACTGGCCACACTGCTCTCTCAGAGGACCCCTGGGTCTGCATCAGGCCTGCTCCAGCAAGGAGGGCTATGCAGGGCCAGTGGGGGGCTCACGACGAAGGGTCACAGGATGTGGTCCCAAAGTGCTCACTATATTTAGAAATCAGGGCAAGTCAGTTAGCCTCTCTGGGGATCCGTTGATTAGATAATGACAAATGAGCCTTGCAGAATTGTTGTGACACTTACTGGGATAAGCGACTTGTTTATTCATTCAGCTGCTACTATCTAGGCCTGTGTCCAGTGGTAAGTCAGTACAGAGAGGACACCTACAGTCTCACTGTTGTTGGTGGTGGCTCCTGTAATTTCTGCGATGCCTACCCTCATGACTTTTCTCCATGACAGCATCTTTTACAATTTGGGCCAGTGCAAGAGTTTAGCCCTCAAACTTTTAGGCCTTAAGCTGGCTGAAATATAATACCCCATGAGGGCCATCATCTTCAAACCACCCCCAGGAGACTCAATCCCTATAAACCAATTGTTTTCCATAGATTCTCCCTGCTACCCAACACATCCCTAGACAAGGTCTTCCAACTGTGAGCTGTTCAGAGAATTCAGAATTTCTATTGAATTTCAGAAGTTTCATTTACATCAACTTTTTCACTCCTATCAAATGCTGTATAATCATATCTACTAAAAGAAATCCCCACAAAGTTATCCACATTCATACATGGCAGGAACCGTAACCAGCAGATATGCCAGGGCACCTACCTCTTTCAAATTGTAGCTTTTTATATCTTTGCATAATTTCAGCTGCAACCATGCACTCAATCTAAGGAAAAGAAAATACAAACAAGAATTATAACAAGCTGAGAGCTAGGATATAATGCAACGTTCACCCAAACAAAACCCACGTTATTCTGACAAGCTCAGCAGTGAATGCTAGTGCACACCCAACAGCCCAATCTGTTCAACTCCACCTGCCTCGTTCTCCTGTAGGTGGCCCTGTTTGGGGCAGGCAGCATCTGGACAGCTAATTGCGGTTTCTAATCCTTCTTTGATCAAGAGCTCAACATACTGTTTCAGGCACTGAAAGAAAACAGAAAAGTGTCTATAAACATCTTTACCTCCTTAATTCCGAAGAAACCATGATGCATTAAAAAAAAAATGACCAGGCACATGGTTCCATGACAGTGTAATATTTTCACTGTGTAGTCCACAGCAATCAACAAATTTCAGGTTTAGATGTTTTCTTCATTCAACAACTATTTTTATGGGGTAGCTATGCTGTGCCAGGGACTATATGATCGATCACAAAGCTAAGGCTGTCAGTTAGATCCCGGCACACAACCTCAGCAAACACAAGAGCCAAGAATTCTACAAGCAAGAAGAAGGGCTCCAAGGGAGGCTGGGAGGTAGTATTTCTCAAATGCATATGAGATGCAGGCACGACACTAAATATTTTATCTCCCATTGTTTCACTGAAGCCTTGGAGCATTTTTACAAGAAAGGTATGACTGTTCCATTTTTCATATGTGAAAACTGAGTCAGCAAAGAAGGAAGCTGCCAACTTACACAGATAGTATCCAGAGCCTTGATGTGAACCCAAGCTTGCTCAGATAAAATGCCCATGTTCTCTCTGCTGAGAAGCTCAGAAAAAAATGCCCATGTTCTTCCTGCTGAGAACCTGAGTGTATTTGTCCTTCGTCACTTACCTGGCAATTACTACCTACCTACCTTACCTACTCGGGAGCGCTGCTTAAAGCCTGCACTGAGTCAAAAAAGAAAAAAAAAAAAAAGGAAGTGAAAGACATGAAGTAGAGTTAATACAAAGGACTCCATAGTCTTCACTCCTGCTTTACAAAGTCTAACAGAAATCTAGTAGAAATCTAGTGATTCTCTGAAAAGCATATTATAAACAGCAACGAGAAGAAGCAATATGACCTTCACCACCTAGGCTCATCACCAACAGAAACTAGATATAGAGCTTCTTTAAGAACTCAAAGAGCATAGAAAAAGAAAATGATGTGAAATACCACCATGGCATCCCCAGATCAACTTCAAAGTTCATAATAGCAGTAATATTATAATATTACAATAATATTATTAAAATATAATAGCAATTGATCAAGTTACATTTGCTAAGCTAATACCGTCCCACAAAAATGTATAATCCATTTTATTACAAGAATGCATGATTATTACTAATGAATGGGTCCAAACTGAAATCCAAGCACAGTTCCTACCAACTCCATGTTCAGAACAAGCCTGTGAATCTCTTTCTACTATATTTATTTTCCTGATCCGCAATTTAGAGGCAGTTCAACCTACCTCACAGTGAAGTTGTGAGAATCTTAGGCAAGGGAAAATGTTGAGATGAATACACGGAAAGGAGTATATGCTTGATATAAAGAATAATTTGATATAAACTGGTAATTCTCCCCATTCTAGCAAACAAGAATATTTCATTCACTGAAGACTCTAGATTGCAATTTCTTTAAAAAATAGAAATCGAGGCGACCCTCAGAAAGAGCCACTTCCCAAAGCTTTCCTCAAGAGCTGTAACTTCAAATGCAAATTACAATGTTGGTGGCTCCACACTGAGCCCTGTGTTCCAGCCTGCGATCTTTTGTTCTGCCTGGGTTCTGATGATTGTAGTGGTCCTGAACTTAGGTTTTCATGGATAATCTACACTTTGCCAACCTAAGGTTTATGAAGACAGTTCCCAGAGTAGTGAGTATAGATGAGGCCGGGCTTGCAGTTCTACATGAGGCTACAGATGGCATAGTTTTTAGAGATAAACTCATTAAAACCAATGCAAAGACTTTTTTCCAGAACAAGGGAGAGGCAGATGATGAGCAAGAGAGAGAGAAGTCACATCCAGCCACCAGCAGGGCTGCAGCCCACTTCTGGGCAGCTTCCGCCAACATGTTACGTGGCAGTGGCGCTGTGGACCACTAGAGTAGTGAAGCATTGTAACAAGGAGCTGAACAGCTGGCAGAGCAGTGGAACTTTCTGTTTGTGACTGCGTCCCACATGAGGGAGAAAGACTGTAGGTTTCACAGCCAGACAGGCTCAAGCAATCCTTGTCCCTCAAGTCAGAGCTGGGCCAATAGCTCCCTTGACAATGAAAGTGGAATGCCCATCTTCCTGCACTTCTGTGACAGTAAGAAATGAAACCCATGAAAGCATCTGGCAGAATTCCTGGTAGATAGCACCAGCTAAGTAAATTGTGGCTGTTAGCTCTTTTTTTGTCTACTTATGTGATATATCTCTTACAGTTATAGGCATTTAAAAATCCCAAAACCTTAGCAACAAGATCATTATTTTACTTTCTATAATTAAGTTTGTCTAAATTGGGTCTCTGGAGGATACTGGAATGCCTTAGACCAATAGACAATGCTGAAAACACTCACAATATTGTGCAGATCAGTATATAATGACAGAACAGGACTCTTCCTAAGAAGCAAAATACAACTATTAAAACTGGTGTGAAGTGTACACCCATATGGCAACAAGTGGTGAGTCACATCTGGCTCTCAAAGCTTCCCAAGAGTGAACATCATGTGTCATGAGGATGCATCTATCTGTGCAATTTGCAAAATGATTATCTTCTGGGAATATCAATTTGTTCACTATATAAAGAGAGACGAAGTTCCAAGCGCATGATCTTGCATCCATCAAAAACAAGCCAGCTTTCTTCCAGATATAAAGTGGGTCATGACTCACAAGCTATGGTTTTCAATCTAATTGCAAAAAGATGTCTTGAAATGAGCACAAAAATAGGTAAACAGAGAAACTTCTGTAAAATACACAGCCTAATGGCAGACACTGACACATGTTCCTACTATAGCACTAATTATAGATATCAGCAGTCATATGCCTTCTAAGTCGTAGACTCTATGTGAATCGCATTACCTGTGTTAGCTTACTAAACATGCACAAAAAAATCACTGTTATCACGTTCACATGATATATGAGAAAACCAAGGCTCAGAGAAGTTAAGAACAGCTCAAGGAGAAGCTCTAAGGGTCAGACCCACCTGTGGCTGATTCCAAGGCTGGTCAGGTTCTATGTTTGCTTGTTTTAAATTTTGTGCATACCTCCTCTTCAACTGAAAAATTTTAGATGAGCCAGTTTAGAGAGCTAACATACAACATAAGGACTGACTTCAATACAACTGGATTGTATCAGGAATTGTTGAGAGGTTAGCTGCTCATCATCATAAAAGGCAACTATGTGAGATGATGCATCTGCTGAGCTGCTTCCCTCTATGACCATTTTATTATCTATATGTATCCCGTAATACCATGTTGTAAACCTCAAATATATACAGTAAAATTTAGTTTTTTAAGTAAGGACTCTTTCAAAAGCAATCATCCACTAAGTATTTTTTGTTTACTTCATAAACTGTTTTGTAGAACAAGGAATCGTATGCACTTTAAAGAGGCATGGTGTCAGTCAACCCAAAAACATCTCATTTATATGTTCACGTTCAAGCTGCTGCAAATGCAATGATCTGTGCTATCAAGACCTGCACAGCCCTGGGTGGGGGAAAGAGGCATGCACCGATCGTTACCACAATGCACTGTGCTCCGTGCTCTCATGGGGGCCACTTCAAGTGGGTGTGGAGGCTCTCACAGGCCACTACAGGGGTAACAACGAGGGGTCCCGCCTGGGTGGGAACAGGGAAGGTTATGAAAAGTTGGGCAGAGGGTCAAAGGCATTGCAGGAAAAAAGGCATTAGCCACACAAAGAGAAGAAAGGGGTGGGGGGAGTGAGCCACAGAATGTTCCAGGAATTTCATTTTCCACTTTGGTTTCCAACTCTCTGAAACCTGATGAGGAGACAGCACTGCGGATTTGCTAATAACCCTCCGATGCGTCAGAAGTTTCCTGCCAAGGAGAAGCGGCCACAGAGAAATATCTGCCTTGCCTAAAACTACAGCAAGTCTGATTTTTGTCTGCTTTTTCACATGAAGTCCTGTTGGCTACTGATGGCCCTAAACGCAGGAGAAAACGTCTAGAAGCTGTGCTCAGAGGTGCTCATCTGGGATCCTCGATTGATTAACACAAGAATTACATGCAGCCAGGTCCAAATGAAAGCAGCAGGGGCCCATGAACAGCGGTTGAGGAAAAGGACCCTGGAATCACAAGGCTGCCTTGAAATTGTAGCTCACCCACTTAGCCGACATGTGGCTGTAGCATGGACCTTCGTCTCCCAGTGCCTCCACTTCCTGATACTGCAGGCTAAGCTTGGCAGACAGAAAGAAAATCACTCCACAGCTCCAGTGCCCCAGAGACAGTGGTGCTCTGGTGTATTAATCACACACTCCGCAAGGGTTTCTCTCAGCCTTTCTGGAGCCTTCAATAATCCATGGTTTGTTTATATTTCTTCTCTAGTAGATGGTGAACTCTTTGAAAGCAAGAACTATTAATTATTTATCTTTCTATTCCCCATACCTAAGAGAGTGCTGGCAAATAGCAAGGGATGAATCAAAGCTGTGCAGACAGAGGGTGGATGGAAGGTCCTAGAGATGAGTAGAACAGACACAGAGTAACCAGACACCTGGCAACAAACATTCCTGGCCAGCCCAGCAGGGGGCTGGAGCCCTGAGACAGAGGTGTGCTGGCTACACACCACCACCTCAGGGCAATCCCAGCTGGGTCCTGCGCACACCCTGGAGGGCTGCGGTTAAGGAGGCTGGAGGCACGACCCTCAGCACAGCCTCCCGAGGACAGCCTCATGGGAATCCCCCCGGCAACTTCACTGAGTGGCCTGGGAACCTGGAGCCAACTGCCCAGCAAGCTGCACGCTACGTGTTCCGGCAAAGATCCCTTTCCTCAAGGATGAACGAATGTGACTTCATTCACATTCTCAAGAGGTCAAAATACAAAGTTTGCATTGATAAAGTTCTCAAAAAAAAAAAAAAAAAATCCAGACTTTACACATAAAATAAATGCTCTCCTCTACATTAGTTATTTTTGTTTTTGTTTTGTTTTTTTCCAGTGGAGTCACACTCTATTGCCCAGGCTGGAGTGCAGTGTTACAATCTTGGCTCACTGCAATCTCTGCCTCCTGGGTTCAAG